TGTGTTGGGGCTGGAGAGAAGGTGTGGGGTGTGGTGGGGCTGGTGGCCTCAGGAAAGCCCCAGGGAGGGGGGTGGTGCCCCGTGGAGCCCATGGTGACAAACACAGGTGTCACCATGCTCCTGGAAGGGGGTGGCTGTGCCGAGGATCACGGCCTCCTCCTCTCCTTGCTGCGGCACCACCTGGGCCTGCTGAAGGAGCAGCTGAAGGCAGTGGAGAGGAAGAATTTCTGAAGGCAGAGACACCTTTGCACCTGGCTCACAAAATTAAAAATTAAAGATCTTGTGGGAGATCTCTGCTGTGACACTCACAGAGCACTCTGGGTGGTGAATGCTGAGCCCCTGGGCCATCGTGTCTGTGCCAGCCCAGCTCTGGCACTGGGGATCGTGGTTGCTGCAGGGAGCACAAACCATGGCTGTGTCCCCTCTGACACCAAGAAGTTTAAGTCTAACAGCAAAAACGTGCTAGACTAATAAAAATTTTGAGTCAAAATTGTGAACATATTGGAAATTTGTTTGCCATAGACAGGTTCAAAGAAACAAGGATGATCCAGGATTTTTATACACTATAATGTGCCAGACTTTTTAGAGATGCTCCCCAAAATGCTCCCAATACAGTATATTTTGATATCGGTGTTTTAATTATTACCAGAATATGCTGTCTATCTTTGTTTAATGGATAAATGAGGTTCCTTCCAGGTAAAGAGTGTTTTATTTGCAGTGCTTCAATGCTGGTGAACATCGTCCATGCCCTGTCGCCCTGCTCTGTCAATGGGAAAGACAGAGGGGCTGAGGCAAAGAAAGGTGATTTAAATTTAAATTTCACTTTTCATTACCATCTTCTGAATCTGTTAATAATAATTTACTTGATACCAGAAAATTTGAACCGTTTTTTTTTGTGTAGAGTGTTTTTTCTCCCAGTTCTCATCTCAACTCATGAGGCCGTGGTTAATTTTTGTTTCCCTCTCCTCTGCCCAGCTGAGAGCAGGAGAAGGTGAGTGAACGGCTTTCACAGGTGCCTGGCATTTGGCCAGTGCCAAACCACGACAGGCTTGCAGCAGGCTATCAGCATCAGAGACCACAATTCTTACTGACAGTACCCCTGATGATGCAATAAAAGTTATTGGAGACCAGATATTGGGGTGCTGTGGTGCCCCTTCCAGCCCTTCACAAGAGCTCATCATCCTCCTCCTCAGCCTTGGGAATACTTGTGGTTGTTTTTTCCTGATCTCACCCTTT